GATACTCCTTTCAACATACAGTCTCAGAACAACTGAACATCTACCTGCAAAAATGAGTCTGGATTCAGACCATGCACTGTTCACAAAAAAATGAACTCAAAATGGATAATGGACCTAAATGCAAATGCAAAATTATAAAACTTCTAGAAGTTTCCTACATAGGAGAAAGCCTAGATTGACATGTAATTTTTTTATGGTACTAGGGATTGAACCCAGGGGTACATTACCACTGAGCTACCTCACCAGTCCTTTTTATTTACTATTTTGAGATAGGGTCTCACCAGGTTGCTAAGGGTCTTGCTACATTGCTAAGGTGGTCCTCTAACTTGTGATCCTCTTTTGCCTCAGCCCCCAGAGTTGTTGGGATTAGGGGCATGTGCCACCACACCCAGTAACTTGTATTTGGATACAACACCAAATGTATGGTCCATAAAAGAAATAATTGTCTTTGGTTTTTTTCAGATAAGTTTTAATTTTAACAAAGTCAATGTCAAGACAATGAGAAGAGAAGCCACAAACTGGGAGAAAATATTTGCCAGGGACATATTTGATTAAGGACTATTATCTAAAATACACAAAGAACTCTTCAAATGCGACAATGCAAAAATAAATATTCTGACTTTAAAATGGCCAAAGACCCTAGTAGATACCTCATTAAATAAAATGCACAGAAGGCAAACAAGAATTTGAAAAGATGTTCTACATCATATATCATCAGATAAATGCAAATTAAAACAACAAGAACTCTTCATGCCGCTGGGAACGCAAAATGGTACAGCCACACTGGAAGACAGTTTGTAGTATTTTACAAAATTAAGCTTTAACTGCTACCGTAAGATCCAGCAATTGCACACTTCGGTATTTACCCCACAGAGCTGAAAACTTATATCCTCTACATAGATGTGTGTGGTCATTTTATTCAAAATTTCCCAAACTTGGAGATGTAAACTGTGTAAATGTAAACTGTGACACATACGTATAATGGAATATTATTCGATGATAAAAATAAATGAGTCGTCAAGTGATGAAAAGACATGGAGGAAACAATGCATATTATTAAATAAAAGAAGCCAATATGAAATCTATATGCTTCTAATTTAGAAAAGGAAGAACTATCGGGACAGTAAAAATAGCAGTGGTTTCCAGGGGTTGGTAAAGAGGAGGAGGATGTACACACACACACACACACACACACACACACACACACACACATACATCCTTTGTTATAGTGTCATATAACATCACATATGTATCAAATGTCACTATACATTTGTCCAAAGCCATGGACTGTTGAACACCAAGAGTGTAAGCTATGGATTTGGACAATTATGTTTTAATTGTAATAAATGTACCACTCTGATGGGGGATGTGAATAACAGGGAAACCATGCAGGTGTGGTAGGTTATGGTAGACCTCTGAATCATCCTCTAACTTTATCTGTGAACTTACAACTTCTTTTTAAAAACAAAAACAGTCTTAAAATACAGGAAGTGGAGAGGAGGAGGAAAGGGAGAGGAGGACTTCTCTAGGGATGGTCAGAAGGCAAGAAGCATATTAAGCTTACGGAGAGACAGTTGATAATAATAGAAGAATCCATCACATAGGAGGATAAGAAAATTCCAAATTTCTGTGCATCTAATAACATAGTAATTAATAATAATTAATATAATTCACTAAGTAATGCTAAAAGAGCTAAAGAGAGAAATAAGCAAATCCTCAGTCATAAATGAGTACTTTAACACAATAACTGGTACAACAAGCAAAATTTTGGTGAGTTCATACTAAATTTGAACAACACAATTATGATATTTGTTCTGATTGATATACTTACAGGGATGTATTTTAAAAAATATACTTTTTAAAAAGTAAATGGAGGGCTGGGGTTGTGGCTCAGCAGGACCATGCTCACCTAGCACGTGCAGGGCCCTGGGTTCAATACTTGGCACCACATAAAAATAAATTAATTAGTTAAAGGTATTGTGTCCAACTATAACTAAAAAATATATATAAATAGTAAAAAATAATTAGTGGAATATTTTTTTAAAAATTGATCATTGAACCATTAAAAAGTATTAGAATTCAAAGAATTCAAATCATATACAGTATGTTCCTTGACAAGAAATATTAAGCTAGAAACTAAGCTAAAACATTGAACTAGATAATATCCAAATATTTGAAAATTTAACAGTATACTCCTAGGAAACCCAGGGGTTAAAATGAATCACAATAAAAATTGTTTAAAATTTAATTAAATGATAAATGAAACATCATTATAAAAATCTTGTTGAAAGCAACAGCCAAAAGGTGGATCAACTTTGATATAGTGACAGTTGGAAAACATTGTGAATGTAATTAATGCCACCAAATTATACATTTAAAAATGGCTAAAATGGTATATTTTATATTATGTGTGTTTTATCTCAATAATTTTAAAGTTTCAAAGGGCAGCGCTTTCAGAATGCAGAGAGGACCACTGTATATTCATTCCCCCATATGTTGCTATAGATCCATCCCTTAATATATTCTTGTACACTCCTTGAAAAATTGTCAAAATCAATTCAAAAACTCTGGAAATCAACCAAAGATATGCAATAACCTTAGGAGTGTTTCCTCAAGAAAAACTTCAAGAACTTGATTTAAAAAAAAAAATAGTGTCATTTGTACATTTTAACTTGAACACTCCCATCAGCTTGAGAGTCCTTCAGAGAAATGATTGTTTCTGCCCTTGGTTGACTATGACGATGATCAGTTCTTGTTAAACTCAAGTCACTCCCTTGGGAAACTATGATTATGAGGCACTGGTGAATTTGTATATGTGTTGAGGGCTTCACATGGTTCTGACAATCAGAAAGCAATGGGAAATGCTGCTTTGGAAGAGGGTGAAAAACTTGTTCTAACCCCAAAGTAAACTTGATGTCACTTCAGGGGCTTCTCAATAACTCTTTTAGGAGACATTGGCTACTGGGGGCATTTTCTCCCTCACACCCTAGAACAAAGCTAACTTCCCCATCTCAACCTTGCTTCCCCCAGTCAGCCAACCTCGTTGCTTACAAGGAATACAAACCCAGAAAAGGTGAAAATCTGTGATAATTATGACGGGGCCTTCAGAATAGTCCCACATTGTTTGAAACACAGTGGTTTTCCTTTCCAAATAAGTACTTATGCAGATAAATCCCTAAGTGAAAAGAGCAGTATGTCATGTCATGGTTCTCAAATGAAGTGGCACTGATTATTAAAAGCTACAGGACAAATACCAAACATTAGCTTTTTACAGCAGTAGTAGAAAAGAAATATGTGTGGAATGGAGAGCTGAAACCTTTTTATGATAAACAATAAATATAACTTATTATAATAAAGAAAAATATAGCATGATATGAAGCTTTCATGAATGTTTAAATTAAAACAAGAAATAAGATGTGCTTAAGAATATCAGTTTTAAAATGAAATTTTAAAAAGTTTTCACATGGAGCATGGTTACAGTATGTCAAGTCTCTAGGAGTAAATGTAATCAAAATGAACAAGATCTCCACACAGAAAACTATAAAATATTAGTGAAAGAAAATAAAGAAGACCTAAAGAAATAGAGAGATAAACCATGTTCATAAAATCTATAAAATATTAGTGATTGAAAAATAAAGATGATCAAAGTAAATGGAGAGATAAACCATGTTCATGGATTGGGAGCTTGAATATTGTAAAAATATCAGTTTTCCCCAAATTGATTTATAGATTTAATACAATTATTTTTTTTTAAATATATATACTTTTTAGTTGTTGATAGACCTTTATTTTATTTATTTATATGTGGTGCTGAGAATCAAACCCAGTGCCTCACACATGCCAGGCAAGTGCACTACTGCAGAACCATTGCCCCAGCCCAGACTTAATATAATCCTAATAGCTGTTTTTGTAGAACTTGACAAGATGATGCTAAAATTTATATGAAAATGAAAACCATGATATAGCCAAGATACTATGAAAAAAAGAGCAATGTTTGAGGCTTGTTCTACAGATAACTTGTCATAAAGCCCCAGTAATTAAGTCAAGAGACCACAGAAACAGAAGAGCCACCAACAAACTTGTGCCAGCACTTGATGTATTAAAAAGATGGCAAAGCAGCTGAGATAGGCCGTGCTTTCAACCCCACTAGATTCATTCTTGGTGAAAGAAGGCCTAACTGTTAAAGGCAAATCATTACATAACACTAAGGGCACTATGGTGATGACCTTGAGATTGGCAAGGATTTTTTAAAATAGAAAATAAAGAGCACAAACCCCAAGAAATAAGTTAGATAAACTGAACTAAAATTAACTACTTAAAATTAGTTAATTCTGTCCCATCAAATATTCCATCAAGAGTATGAAAAGACAAACCATTGAGAGGTGAAAGACTTTTTTTTGAGGTGATGGTGGGGGTACCAGAGATTGAACTCAGGAGTGCTCAACCACTGAACCACATCCCCAGCCCTGTTTTGTATTTTATTTAGACAGAGTCTCACCGAGTTGCTGAGGCTGGCTTTGAACTCATGATCCTCCTGCTTCTGCCTCCCAAGCTGCTGGGATTACAGGCATGCTACACTCCTGACAGAGGAGGAAGATTTTTAACTCAGAGATTGACAAAGGATTTGTATCTACTTTACATATAAAATGCAAGTTTAAATATTGCTGGCTTATTCGGTGCAGAACTGTGAAGTCTCTTAACAACTAGTGGCAATGTACACTGACATAACTCCTCAGGAAAACAGTTTGGTTTTAGTTTCTACAGTTGAAGCTATGGATACCCTAAGACTTAGCAATTCCACTCCAAGTGTATGCTCATCTGAAATGCATTTTCACACGGGCACCAAAAGACACATAGAAGAGTGTTCTCAGCAGCATTTTTCACACTGGGCAAAAATTAACACAAGCCAAGGGTAGAATAAATACTGACTACAGTCCATCATTCTGGGATTTGTTTCAGGACCTCCAACAGATGCTCATATCTGAAGATGCTCAAGTCTCTCCTATTAAATGAGGTAGCGTCTAAATAGAACCTTTGAACAGCATCCTCCTGGATACTGGAAACCACCTCTAGATAGATGGCTTATAATTGCTTATAATACAATATCAATTCTACGCAAATAGTTGTTAAAATGACAAGAAGAAAATATCCTTACATAGTAAAGACACAACTTTTAAAAAATATTTTCAATTGGCAGTTGTTAAATCAGTAGCTGTGGAAACTAGATATGGAGGGCCCATTGATGTCGATGGATATCGACATCTGATGGGTAGACAGTAGGATGCTTATTGAAATACCATGTAGTAAGAAATATGAAAAATAATATCACAAATATTAGCATTCTGAGCCAGACAAAACACACGCTGTATAATTCCATTTATATAAAACTAAAAATTAGCCCAAACCATAATGTTTGGTGGTTTAAAGATATATATATTTTAATATATTTAAATATATTTTAATATGTATTCAATATAAATAAGTTAAATATAATTATTTATACTTAAATATTAAATATATATTTAATGTATTCCTATTTACTTAACATAAAATATATATTATATATATATATATATATACACATATATACATATATATATAAAGAAAAGGAGATTAAACAAATATAAAAAGGAGCAAAGAAGTGATTCCCACAGAAATCAGGAAATTGACCCACTGTCTACTAATATTGGAACTGTCTGCCCCAAACTTACTGAAAAATAATTATGAGGGACTGGGCTCAGAAATTGCATTTAAAAATGTAATACCTTCATATGAGTCAAATGCTGTTCTAGGTTAGGAGATGAAAGGTACAGGGTGGGTTACCAGCCCCTGTCTCTGGGATGACCAGGGCTGGTCTGAACACTTGTATAGCAGGAGCACTTTAGGATCCTTGGACTGACATCAATGTCTCTCTTCCCCTACTTGCTCCCTGCAGGAACCCAAGCACATAGTTCTAGGTCTCTGCAGTTTGGAGACCCTCCTCCCTCAATTAGAGGTCCTATAGCAACTGCCACTAAGGGTTACACTCCAGCAACTGAGTGCTGTGTCCATTCCATACAAAATGGCCTGCGCTTTCCAGTAAATCCCTGCTTGCTTAAAAAGAATTTCGTATCTGGATTCAGGGAAACTGAGATACAGATGTGTTTCAAAGGATAGACACAGCATCTGGGAGTCCCCAAGCTACCCGGCTTGCCATTAAGTTTTATTTGGAAGCCAGTTGTAATTACTGTAATCTCTCCTATTCCATGCACAGCACTTATCTTATTTTGAAAGCAGCTCCCTGGAGAAACACTCATAAATCCTGTTGAAATAATTATGAACTTAACGTTTGAGCTTTTCATGTGCAAGAAGTTGAGAATTTTACCCTTTTACGACAAATCAGAGAACAAGCAAATCCCTAAAGGCAATGAGGAAGTCCAGCTTGGGTTGACTTCATGACAGTGTGGGGTTATGGCTGGGAGTGGGGAAAAGAGGGAGAGAAGAAGCAAACGTTTAAGAAACCAAGGGAAAATTCCTCTAGGTCCAGGCTCCAAGTGGTTTATAGACCTATAAATTTATACCTTGTTTCTCCTACTTGTTTCCTTTAGAATGGTAATGCTAAAAGACATGGCCCACGATCTTCCACCCTGCCAGGAGACTGCAGATGTCATAGGTAAGGGCAACTTGATCAGCTCCCCTTTCACCAAGGTTGCTGTGTCTCTCTTTCTAGGTTCTTTTTTCCCCAGCTTAATTGAGATAGGATTAACCAATACAAATTGTATGCATTCAGGTTGTACAACAGGGTGTTTTGATATATGTGCACATTGTGAGATGATGACTACAATAAAGCTCATTAATGTGTCAATCATCTCACATACTTACTCTGTTGTGTGTGTGGTGAGAAGATTTGAGATCTACTTTCTTTGCAAAGTTGGAGAATACATTTTTATATTCACTACAACCACCAAGCTGTACGTTAAGTCTCCAGAACTTAGTCATTTTATAATTGAAAGTTTGTACCTTTGACCAGCATCTCCCCATTTCTCTCACTCCATAGCTCCTGGGACCCACCATTTCTACTCTGTGTTTGCATAAATTTGACTTTTTTTAAGACTCCACATGTAAGCAAAATCATGCAGTATCTTTCTTTCTGTCCCTGGATAATTTCCTTTGGCATAATATCCTCCAGACTCATCATGATATCGTGAACAGTAGGCTCTCCTTCTTTTTAAAGGCTGAATAATATTTCATTGGATGTATATACCACATTTACTTTATCCATCCATCTTTATAGGGTATTTCCTTTGTTTCCATATCTTAACTTATCTTAACTGTTGTGAATAATGCTGCTGTGAATGTGGGAACGCATGTATTCCCTTAAGATGGTGATTTTATTTCCTGTGTGTGTATGTATGTGTATATATACCTAGATTTGGGATGCTATGTTACATGGTAATTCTATTTTAAATTTTTTGCGGAAACTTCATATTTTTTTTCCAATGGCTATACCAGTTTGTATTCCTACTAACAGCACATAAAGGTCCCTTTTTGCCACATCTTCACCAACACTTATTACCCTTGGACTTTCTGACGGTGACAGTGACACCTCAGTGACATCTCACTGTGGTTTAGTTTGGCCTTTCCCTGATGCTGAGCAATGTTGAGCGCCTTTTCATATATGACTTTCGGTCATCTGCATATGTTCTATGGGAAAATGTCTGTTGAAGTCCTTTGCCTATTTTTCAACCGGGGTATTTATTTTATTTTACTTTATTTTAGTTTGTATTTGATTTTGTTATTGATTTGTATGAGTTCTTTGTGCACTGTAGATAGTAACCTCTCATCTCAGATAGGGTTTGCAAATCTTCTCTCTCCTTACATAGATCGCCTTTTTCATTTGTTAATTGTTTTCTTTGCTGTGCACAAACTTTTTAGTTTGAGAAGGTTCCACTTGTTTCTTTCCTGTTCGGTTGCCTGGGCCGTTGGTATCATATCCAACAAATCTTTATCAAGACTAATTAATGGCAAGACCTGTGTTTTCTCCTGGAAGTTTTATAGTTTCATGCAGGTCTTAAGTTTTTCATTTCTTTTGAGTCGATTTTAGTGTGTGCTGTCAGATATGGTTCAATGTCTTTCTTTTGTGTATCGATATGAATTTTTCCCAACACTGATTTTTTTTTGTTTTACATTAAACTTTTGTTTTCAATAACTAGAAACAATACACTCTAAAATCACGATAAAATCATGATATAGAGAGAGGTATTGCATAGCAAATGCATAGACTAGAAACATGGTTATTTGAGTCCACGTGCACTGGACATAGTGGTGTGTGCTATATTTTCATGTAGCTGGCAGTGCAGGAGTTTTATTTTTACTAGAACTTTAGAGTTAGTAGTTGGGCTCATTCCAACAAAATCACTTATGCATGGAATTGGATTCCAGTTCACGGCTCCCCACCTTCTCCCTCCCTTTCTCCTTCCTCCTTCCTGTTCTCCTTTCTCTACTCTGCTCGACTTCCTTTCACTCGTCTATTTATTTATATTTGGTTGGTTCTTTGTACTTCCACATAGAGATGAAATTCCCTGTGGCATATTTAAATGTGCACCTAACAGTTTTATGAGAATTCATTCCACATTTCCTCCCCTCTCCATCCCTCCACTCTGCCTCTCCATCTCCTTCCTCCACTCCACTCAGCTTCCCATGTCTTTATCCTTCCCTCCTCTCCTTATTTCACTCTAGCTTCTACATATGAGAGACGTCGTTCAGCCTTTGAGTTTGGGAGTCTCGCTTATTTTACTTAACACGATGTTCTTCATTTCCATCCACTTACCAGCAAATGCCATAAATTTATTCTTCTTTATAGTTGAGTAGAAATTCCATCGTGTGCATATGCCACAATGTCTTGATCCATTCATCTGTTGACAGGTATCTGGTTGATTCCATAAATGTGCTGCTGTGGACACTGAGGTGGATGTTTTGCTATAGTATGCTGATTTTAATACTTTGGGAAGAATACCAAGGAGTGGGAAAGCTGGGTCATATGGTGGCTCTATCCTTGGTTTTTTGTGCAATCTCCACACTGCTTTCCAGAGTAGTTATACTAGTGTGCAGCCCCACCAACATCCATTTTTGAAGACACTATAACTTCCCTGTTGTCCGTTCTTGGTGCTTTTATTGAATATCAGTTACTGATATGTGCATTCTGGGCTCTTTATTTTGTGGCCTTGGTCTCTATGTCTGTTCATTCCAGTACCATATTGTTTTGACTACTAGAGCTTTATAATCAAATTTGAAATTATGTTGAGTTTCTCTCTCTTGCTACTTTCAAAATTCTCTTTGTGTTTAATTTTTCAGTTTAATTATAATGTGCATTGGTAAATCCTCTTTGGGTTGAATATGTTTGGAAAATATTGAATTTCATGTACCTGGATGTCCAGATCTATCTCTCCAGATTTGGGAAGTTTCCACTCAATATTTCTTTCATCTTTTGCCCCTTTCTCTTTCTCTTTTCCATCCAGTATTGCCATAATCTTTATGTTACTTTTCTGTGTGGTGTCCCATAAATCCCATAGGCTTTCCTTATTCATTTCTATTATTTTTCTCCATTTCTCCTCTGAATAATTTCAAATGGCTCGCCTTTGACTTCCCAGATGCATGGTCCTGCTTGTAGAAGTCAGCTCCTGACGCTCTCTATTGCATTTTTTTCATTCCACTCCTTGTATTCTTCAGATGTAGAATTTCTGTTTGTTAGTTTTAAACTAATTTTATTGAGTATACTTAAGGTTTAGAATATGATGCTAAGGGATACAGAAATAAAGGAAACGATTATTACAGTGGAGATAATTAATATGTCTATTATCTCAACATAGTTATATCCCCCCCTTATTTTTTGTTTTGTTTAGTTTTGATACAAGAGCGCTAAAATCTACTCATTTAGCTTGAATGCCATATCCAATATAATTTTACCACTCACAGTCCTCAGGCCATACCTTAGATCTTGGGGTTGTTTTTTCTTGGTTTTCTTTGCTTTTTTTTCTTTTCCCTTTTTTTTTTTTTTTTTTTTGTTTGACTTTTTCTTTTGGTCTTTTTTTTTTTTTTTTGCCTTTTTTTGGTTTTTTTTTTTTCGTTTTTTGTTTTTTTTGTTTCTTGGAATTATTTGTTTTGATTTTTTTTTCGGGGGTTTCTTGGCCAAGGATTTTTTCATTTCCTTTTGGGGGTTGGTAACTGGGAAATTAGCCTTTCCTTGGGTGGGGTCCTGTTTCTTGGATTTGAGGGGACACAGGTTCCCTCCCTCTGGGGTTCCCTCATCCCTGGGACCTTGGTGGTCTTCTATCTCCACCCGGCAGGTTGTGGGGGAGCAGGGGAGGGGAGGCACACATGTCCTTTCACCCCTCCATCCTGGAGATGGCGTGCATCTCTTCCGCTTGCATTCCAGTGTGATGCCAGAGAGCCCAGAGATGGATTTCTTGGCTAGGCAGACACATCCTAGCAACAACTGCACACTATAGAAGGGAACAGCTGGCCTTTCCACCACAAACTGATTTTTCTGGAGGAAACAAATTATATGGTTTTCCCATATAATTCCCATTTCTCATGGTCAGATTTCTGGAAGTTCAATAAGACTAATGATTATCCTCTCAAATTAAAGTTTTAAGCACTCTGTAAAATATTTTGGTAATGCTTGCCCATTTGCTGTAGTATTTAAGGTTGAATATGCATGGTGTGTATGTAATGAATGGTGGGAAATTATGCTGTAGCCTTATGGGTACTTCCTAACTAATGAAGATCCAGCTTCTTTAATGAAATTTGACTTTATGGAATTAGTACATATGAGATGGATTTTGAATGTTCTTCTACCGTTAGCCGATGCAAGAGGACAGGACAGGTAACCATTTATGCTATTGTTAAAATCAGGAAAGATTTTCTTTCTCCTCTTTTCAGTCAAGAACAGAAAATTGAAACATGCTCCATAGCTTAGAGACAAGTCCGAGCTAGTGTATGGGAAATCAGGCAGGCTGATCACATCGCTCATAGCAAGTCAAGGACACAGTGCATCTGATCTACGTAGCACTAGGTACGATCCTATTCCATTTATATTGCTGTTTGCATCTTTCAGAATACTGATTAACCCCAGTAATCACCTCTGGTCTGCTAGAGCTGCTGTGCAGACCGAACGTTAGAAGGATGGGAGTCTTTGAAGTGTGATAATGTGAGCAGTAAAGCAATAATTTACCACCGTGCGATAGGTAGTCCTTTGTTTCCTAACTTCTCTTCAATTTTTATGGTCAGGTATTCATAGGAGAATGGGTAAGAATGACATAAGCATACATATTAATAATGGTGACTTATTAATTGACCCATATTGTCTTTTTCATTCTCCAAATGGTCATTTCAATATAACCGATGGCTACTGTCTTCATTGAGAGATGACAGTACATCAGGCAAAATGGTCTAATTTGGCCACATGATAAAGTCTCTTGTGCTTCATTTCCTTTCCTGAGCCTGATTTTTTTGGGTTATGAGCTTTAACTATGCTAGAAGTCTGTAAGGAAGGGAGTTAAAACAAAACCAAGCCTTACATTGTCAACAGAAGCTGACTATGTAAGTGGTAGACCGCTGGTGGTCTACCGATTATACCTGTGAATTGTATTGCACCTGTGGATTTGTAAGGTCAGATCGGATGGTCTGTGCTTAAATGTGATTCATAATCATCGCAGCAAACAGTTCTCCAAGTCTTTTTCACAACAGCCTTTCAAAGAGGGTCTGCCATATTTATTCTGCCTATATTACCTTGATTTTCTTTTTGCATGAATATTGACTTTCTTTCCAAGTGTTCGATTTGGCTGTGTCTTTTCTGTCCCAGTTTCCTGAATGGAGCAAATGGTCCATCCCATGCTTATCTCTCATATAACTCATGAAAATAATTAATAAAAATCAAGTGTCATAATGCTGCAATGTGACCAATGAATGGCTAATTCAACTTTCCGCTTGCTCTCGGCTGATGGATTCTAGCAAGATTTGTTTAATGGAAAAGCTTCTGTCCATCTTTCTGTCCAAAACAACCTTCTGGAGAGCGTGGTGGGAAGCACATTGATCCATCAGGGCCAGCTCTCCTGCCTGTCCCTTCCCTTTCTCTTCTTCTCAGCTCCGTACCTGTGCCCCACACCTGTACAACTTGGGTGGACCCAAGTTGTTAGTCTTGCAAGGAATAAAACTAGTCTCCTTGATTCCTGCTATTTTAGGCGATGGAGCACGTCCTGGGAGGAGGTTTTGTGTAGTATGAACACGCCAAAGCTCAGGTGGGACAATATGTGTAAGATGTCCTTGGGATATTTCCTAACCGCGGACACCCAATTCCAAGTCTCTGAAGCGCCTACCTGGAACTGCTTCTAAGGATGTGTGTCCTATTACAAAGATGGCAGAATCTAGGAGATTACTGACAAGAACTAAATAGTATCCTAAGTGAGCAGATGCTTATAATTTGTGATATAGTTCATGGAGTATTTGTGTCCATCTTTGACTTGCTTTCCTCTTACTCCTTCAATTCCACTTTTATTCTTCTGTGAAGCCAACTATAAACCTCAAAAGATTTCAAAAAGCACCAAGAACTCACTAGTCACGTCTTGCCAACTCGATCCATTCTGCACACAGGGAGATCTTAATGCATAAACAAGAAGATGACACAACTCTGTTTTCTGTTGCACTTGCAACATGCTACATAGCTTAGAGAGCAAGCCTCATTTCATTACTCCTCTTAGTTTTGCTCAGTTTTATTGGCTTCATTTAGTTATTCGAATATACCAAGCAAGCCAACTCCTGCCTCAGGACATTTACACATGCTGTTCTCTTTTCTGGAACACAATTATCCTAGCTCTGCTGAGCCATAGACTTCAGGTCTGAATTTAGGTGTCTCCTGTTCAGAGAGGCCATCCTTGGATACCATGTTTAAACTAAGTTCTTCATACTCTCCCTCTCAATTTCTATCTTGGCGGTTATGTTGATTTCTCTGTAACACTGTATTTGTTTAGATTGTCTCTTTCTCCTTCCAGAACATAGGCCTCCCAAGGACAGGAACTTGTCTGTCTTATTTGATTTTGCGTCTGCAGCACCTGGCACAGGGTTCAACAGAAGACAGGGCCCTATAATTGCCGTCCGGTGGTTTTTGAGCCTCTATGGCTAGCTTTTCCATTCTCACAACACAATTCCTCACACAGACAGTCCCTTCTTTATCATTTTTCTTCCAAACGGCAATTTATAAATTGCTCTTTAAAATTAGAATGTAGTTTACAGAAGCAACCTTTTACAAACTGGTTCTTTGAGCAGTAGCCTTCAGAATCCTACGTAGCAGCCCCTAAAATTGCAGTACTTTAAAAAAAGAATGAGCAACGGCAGCTGGCACAAGCACAGGATTTGAGTTGCACAGACTCCTCCATTCCCCTCCCGGCTCTGTAGTGGGCTTAGGGAGATGCACCAGGCCAGCCCCGAGGGGAAGCTGGTGCATGTGAAGTACATCCAGTGTGATCTGGGAGAGGGAAAAGGAAAGAGAGCTGGCACGTGGCTGGGGCCGGTCCCGTGGGAGCAGTCGGAGGCTCAAGGCCTGGGAGTCACCTTCCATTTCTCAGGAAGGGGCGGTGTCTTGTGGTCTTGTGGCTTCCCAGCTGTGTTGCTCTGTTTTGATCCTGTCTGGGGGCAAGTCCCCCTGTGCTATTTTCAGATCATTTCCAGAGCTGCTGCTCCTGAGGTTGGGGCCCCAGAGAGAAGTGGCCTGAGGAGGGGAGGCTTTTTATGCAGGTCTTGTAGCCCACGGGAGGCAGGGAGGCTAGGCTGGTCCTGGGTGGACTGTCAAGGGACACAGGGTGGCCAAACTAGGCAAGCTCCCCAGTCAGGCCTCCCTCACACCAGCCCAGCTTTTCTCAGGCTGAGGCACCTGGAACACCTTCCTGTCTTCTGAGGTTTGGAAGACTCTCCCTCCCCTGGGCTCTGTGGGGAGCACCTGAGGAGGAACCCCACCCTCCAGGAGACCTACTCCTCCTGCTCTGTGTGACTGCACACCGCATCCGCCTGAGCTGTTTCCACCACCTTGTAGACAGACATGGGGAAAGTCCCTCCTGCCCTTCTTCCACCCACCTTCCCACTCCCATTGCCTGGCTGGGAGATTCCACCACTCCTCCTCCTGGGACAAGCCCTTACGGGTTCATTCCCGAGAAGAAGACTCCAAAAGGTCTTGGCAGGAAGGTGTTCACTGTTTTCCCCTGAGGCCACCCTTCTGGCCTGGACAGAGGAGAGCTGCCCTGTGGGACCCTGGGGGTGGTCAGGGCCAGGCGCTCTCCCCTGATGTCCACACTCACTCTCCTAACCCATCCCACTGTGGAACTGGAGGCCACCACTGTCCAGGGTATGCAAATAAGCCAACAGGTGACTTAGTCAACTCCCTCATCAGGGGATCCCCACATTCACTGTGCTGTGAGCTGTCACGGCAGGATCCAGTTTGCTTTCTGGCTAATCTGTATACTTTGCTGGGACACAGGCCCTCCTTCCTTTTAAACTGCAGAAAGAAAGACAAAAAAAAAAAAAAAAAAAGATCACTTTGGCCACCAGTCAATCTAGGCAGAGTGATAAGCACTTTGCCTGGAATTGAGGTCCTTGCCGCACTAAAAATAGCAGCTGTGCCGACTATTGATCACCAGCAGCACACTCCAGAGAACCCCAGGATGGGCCTCCGGACTCAGGAAATGCCAGCAGCCCTTCCAGGTGTTGGGAATTTTGCTCGGTGTTGTTTTGCTCTACGTTAAATTTGGAAACTGACTAATAAATGGTTAAATGTGTTTGCCAGAAAATATGCAAGTGTAAAGCAACGGTTTCCAAATTCCCCGCAGAGCCTGGACGCAAGGGAACATTGGCAGCCTCGCCTGTTATTAAGAAGGTCACAAGATGCCATCTGTTACCGCGTGCACTTTACTGTTCCAGCATAACATCCACTAGGAGGTGACTGGATTGATTTTGCCTGTGAACCTAGGAAAAGGCACTCTCATGGGTACGGTGGAGGTCTGGTGTGGACACTCTGGTACCAGCCTAGGAGAGGGGCTGGAGTTTCGATGGGGAGGAGATGGGAAGAGGGTGAAGCATTGCTTTGAGGTCTTTCTTTAATTATGGCTCAAATGCGATATGGGATGCCACTGCCTGGTTTTCCTAATTTCTTATTGAACCTAGTTTGAGCCATTTATAAAATATGATAACACCTAGCAGTTCAGGAGGCTGAGGCAAGAGGATCTCGAGTTCAAAGCCAGCCTTAGCAACTTAGCGAGACCTTGTCTCTAAATAAAATACATAAAAGGGCTGGGGATGTGCCTCAGTGGTTAAGCACCCTTCGGTTCAATTTCCAGTACCAAAAAGAAAAGAAAAAAATATGATACTAGCCTTCTTAGAAATTTAAGACAGATAAATGGATGCATATTCTTTTACTCACAATTTTACAAAATGTAAATCTGTAGAAAAGTTGAAAGAATATACCTCTCTCCTGGATTCACTAGTTGTTCATGTTTTGCTGCATTTGTAAGCCTTTTGCTCTATTTTAGTTTCTGCATACTGATATTTGCTTCTTTACTGGACTATCTAGAAAAAATTATAAACATCATATCAGCATGTTTTCAAAATAATTCAGCGTGTGCCTTCTAGGAATAGTGTCTTTTTCTCACATAACCACAAAAATTGTATCATAATCAAGAAATTTACCATTGATAGCCTAATTATTATCTAATACTCAGACCACTGAATGCCTTCTTCTTAAAAATATGTCAGAGATTTGCTTTGTAATTTATCTCAATGGTTAACAACTATCTGTGTAAAGCAGTGATACTTAATTTTTGAGACACTTTAAAAAATCTGATAAAAGCTTTGGGTTCTATCTCCAGAAAAATATCCATAAAGACACTTACTCAAGCCAACAGAGCGGGCACTTTGGATTCTTCCTTGCGTCTACAGATTTCAGGTTAAGTGCTGTTAAGGTTTAATCTAAATTCTCCTTCTTTGCTCATATATACTTAAGACTGTAGTACCCCAAAACGGATGGAGAACGGTTTGTCTTCACCTTCCAACATTATGTTTTGTGTTCTGGAAGCTTCCATTTCAAGGAACTCAGAGTTTCAAGGACCTCAGAGATGGGTAATTATCTCCAATCTATTAAAAGAAAACTGAATCACAAACAAGGCTGACAGTTGTACTGTGATAGACACCCAGTAGAGGGACTAAATGATTAGAAGACCTAGGAGAATCCTTCCAAATCTGAGCATCTCACCAGCCTACACTTGCTTTTCTTGGTAATTCCCTTTTAAAAACCTGTAGCATTCCATCAGGGTGGGCACCACATTTAAGGACCAAATCTTAAGTTAGAATTTGTTGGCAGTTAGTAAGATGGTTAGTTTCACCAATGAAATTGCCCAATTTGGTTATGGTTCTAGTACTAGGAAGTGGAAGGCAGTGAGCAGGGCACAGGCCAGTAAATCAGGGTAACGTTAAAGGTCGTTAATTAAAAGGCAAGGTGAAACTGCCAAGGTCAAGTTGCACTGTGAGCTCTGTTTTGTCAACGGTGAACTCACGGAGCATTGGCTAGCCATTTTCCAACGCCTCTAAGTTTACTGGTGTTGCTCTTCACGAACAGACTACAGAAAGTGAGAGACATTTCTAGCTCAGTTACAAAAATGACCAAGTTTGGCTAAAAGTTGGATCAGAATATGTAAATACATTATGCAATGTTCTGACATAAATTCTAATGTCTGGATTTTTAAAAGATATTTATTCTATAATGTGATCAAAAGCCTCAAAATGGCTCTCTGTAAAACTTTAATATTATGGAGTCATATCAGTTACTAATTAATGATTATCTTGTATAATTCTTGAGGGAAGAATGATAAAAAATACTAGCTGAGCCTCTGGCAGGCCTATGGGATTTATAAGTCTTACAGAGCTTTGAAAGGCTAAGAATTCACAGAGAATGGGGCAATCAGAGCTAATTGTGCAGATAAAATTCTTATCCATCTGCTGTGGATAAGTGTTTTTTTTTTTCTTGAATTCAGCTAAATAATTGTCGAGCTCTTTGACTTTGGCTTAAGATACCTTTTTTAAAAAAAGTTTATCAGCACAAAACAACACAACTAAAATTCCTTTCTCTTGAATCATTCATAATGGTCAGACCTTGTGATATTATGCCAAGCAAGGTTATGCTTAATAAAAATGCACTAGAAAACTAAACTTGATTAGTCATTAGAGAAATGTAAATTAAAAACACAAAAAGAGATAGTTCTCCACATCCATTATTGTTATGATCACAAAGACAGATAATCAAATGTTGGTAGAGTTTGGATTGGACAAAGGGGAGGTTGGGAAGGGGTTATGAGGGTGGGAAAGACCATGGAAATGAGATGGACATCATTATCCTAGGTACATGTATGACTGCATGAAGGGTGTGTCTCTACACTATGTACAACCAGAGAATTGAAATGTTGTGCTCCATTTGTGTATGATGAATTGAAATGCATTCTGCTATAATGTATACTAAGTAGAACAAATTTTAAAAAATTAATAAATTTTTAAAACATGTTGGTAGAGGATACAGAGGAACTAGAAGCTTCATTTATTGCTGGAGGGAATGTAAAACAGTACAACTGCTCTGAAAAACACCTTGGCAGTTTCTTTAAAAGTTAAACAGGGGCTGGGGTTGTGGCTCAGCAGTAGAGCGCTAGCCTAGCATCATATGTGAGGGGCTGGGTTCAAGCCTCAGCACCACATAAAAATAAACTAATAAAATAAAGGTATTGTCCAACTACACAACATATATATATATATATACACTTAAACTTAGTGCTGGGGCTATAGCTCAGTTGGTAGAGTACTTGTCCTGCATGCACAAGGCCCTGGGTTCAATCCCCAGCAGAAAAGTTAAAAATTAATCTACCATAGGATCCAGCAATTCCACGCCTAGGATTTCTCCTGAAATGAAGATACAATGTCTATACACGACTTGCACATGGACTGGGATGTAGCTCAGTGGTAGCAGTTGGCTTTGCCTGTGTTAGGTCCTGGGTTCCATCCCTAGCAACACACACACACACACACACACACACATACACACACAGAAAAAGAAAAGGGGACACTTGCTATCTGACTTATTTGTAAATGCAATATTATTCAGTAATAAAAAAGAACAGAATATTCAAACAGCCACGAAATAGCTGAACATAAAAAAATATTATGCTAAGGAAAAGAAGCTGGTCGTGAGTGTGGAATTCTATTTATAAGAAATGACCAATAAAGGCAAATCTGCAGAGAAGAAGAGTGGATTTGTGGTTTTCTGGAACTGGTTTAGGGAAGGGGATTAACCGTAAACAGGCATGAGAGATCCCATTGGGATGATGAAAATGCTCTAAAATTGGATTATGGTGATGGTTGCATGACTTGGTAAATTTACTGAAAATCATTGGACTGTATACTTCAAGAGGGTCAATTTTAAGGTGTGTAAGAAATACCTCAATAAGATTGGTTATAAAAAATACATCTGAGCTCCTTGAGACCTTAAAGAAAAATTACAGCATGGTTTTAGGTCTGATTTTAAGAATACAAACTGTATATCACAGAACAATGCTCCAAGCATAAAAATGTCTGCACGTTCCAAATTCCAGAAGACTGAAGACAAAGATAAGTTTCAGTCATGGTTTTGTCATGCCTGACAGAATTACTCTTCTGTTAAATGCCAGAGGAAAACAAACGACGTGTGTACGTTGTTGTCATTAGACTCAATTGGGAGTGTAAAGTATCCTTTAACACTGGATGTAATCCTGATTTCCCCTCTTCATTTGTATGCAGGACTATTCCCTAATATAACCGGAACCTTGAAAAATTCGCTCAACGTCAAGCACAGAGTGGTAAGCCCAACATTCCTCATTGATCTTTTCATGTGGAGAACTTAAAACGATTGCACAGTGTCCATCATTCATAAAAAACAAACTAAAAGGGGTTGGCATTTAAAACTGGATACTCATTCAAAAGTTATTCATCAAACATTGATTTCTAAAGTTTATCTCTGAGTGCTTCTTATGTGTATAGCTTTCTGTGAGACAATGGGCATAGAAAGATGCCATTAGGGTTTGGATATGAGGTGTCCCCCAAAAGCTCCTGTTAATGCAGGAATAGCCAGAGATGAAATGATCGGATTACGAGGGCCATAACCTAATGGATCCATGGACCACCATGAGCTGAGCAGCTTCCCTCTGCTGGGCCCTTCCGCCATGATGTTCTGCCTACCTTGCATATGGAGGTGAGCAGAACACCACTGGACTCAACTCACCCTGAACTGAATCTCTGATCTTGTGAGCCCTAAGAAACTTTTCCTCCTCTTAGTCGGTCTTGATGGGTATCTTAGTCACAGCAACACAAAGGTGTGTCACTAGCACAGTGGTGAAGTAATGATGCTTTCTGTGTCAGTCACCAACTTCCCCCTTTTCCACGCTGGGCATTAACCACAGGCAATATAGTGTCAGTTCAGACCACAGCAGCTTTCCTCTGGTTGTGAACGTTCAAATGACACAGAAATTATACATAGGAACAAAAGGAAAAATCACCTTTCCTCCTGCAGGGCTGGTCACAATTCACACTGGGATGAACTTCCTTAGTAGCTTCTCCATAGTTACGTACACACGAAGGTAGACACACAGATAGTCATACAAGGTATTGTCCTCTGTGATCTGCTTATATCCCTCAGTATTTTCCTGGACATCTTTCAGTATTAATAAACAGAATTATTTGTCATTGTATATAACAGATGCATAGAATTCCACTGATGGGATATATTATAATGTAAAAATATCCCATGTTACCAGACTTTTCAAATTTAAAATTATTAAAAAGTTATGATGACTAAAATTTGAAAATGTATTTTTGCAAGTGTAAACAAATACCTTTGGGGTATATTCCCATGAGTGGAATTCTTGGGTCAGAAAACATATATATTTTTTTATATTGGTAACTTGCCTCCCAGTAAATGAGCTTTATGCTCCGACAGCGAGTTTGTTTTCTATATTTTAACACTTGCTTTAGAAATGATCTGTTTTCCAGTTTGATATATGAAGATATTCCCATTTTCTTTATTTTATTTTATTTGGTGATTGGTGAGGCTGAACAACTTCTGTTTATTTAGTTTCACATCTTTTTCATGAATTATAGTTGACTTTCATTATTTGTGGTAGCTGTGTTTTATACAGTTGTCACAAACCCTGAATTAACCAATACAGACTCACTGCTCCCAGGAGACTAGAAGGTTAGGTCACCATGAGCCTCCAGTCAACTGGTTAATACATAGCTTTGTGTTTGTGTGTGTTTCAGTTTAAAGACACTTTACTTCATACTTGTTGTGACTTAACATTGAACTTGTGGCCAAAACACTGTAATAAAGCCAAATTAACACACCTCTTTTCTCTGTGGGCATGTCATCGTCTTCTTGAAAACAATCAAATCACCAAAAAAAATTTTTTTTTAAAGTGCAGACAGTATGGTTGTAAATAGACTGCAGAGAGCAGGCTCGATTACAGTAGGACTGTTCCAACAAGGAGACCTTCCTTGTTCACCTTATTTGACCTCAGCTGGGAAGGTGCATGTCAGGTGACTCAAATTTTTTGGCCACTCTGCCGCATGTCCACAGATGACCGCAAAAGTGCTAAGTATTAACCGTGGGGTTACACATAAATTTTAGCTAGTAGGTGAATTCATAAATATGGAATCTGTGAATAATGAAGACAGTATATTTCCTTTGCCCATTTTTCTACTAGTGTTTTGTATAAACCATTTACACGTTGAGAAAGTCTTTTGCCTAGCCTAGTTTATAAAGATTTCCCTCAGTTTTTGTCTTGCCATTTTACTGTTGTCATCTGTTATTATGGTGGCTTTGGACAGCAGTTATCAAGGTGCCTTTTGAATGGAGGGGGTGCGGGGTGGCAGTGAAGAAGGCATTTCAACAGGTTTCTAGCACTGGGAAAGTCGTTGGTATTTATTCCTAACTCTTCTTTTTACAGGCACACCAGGTTTGGGGTTTTGGTGATCTTTCCCGGGCACCTCCAAATTCCAGAAAAATATGTAAGTCCCATTCTCATCTAGCATTTTGAATCTTTTGTCTTGATTTTAATCATGATCTTCATCTGATATTTTTATGCCTCCCACAGTCTAAGGCCATTCGAGGCCCTTTGCCTGTTGATTTCCTGCCTCTGTCACTCATCCTATTGGTCCATTGTATGTCTCCTAACAATAAGGAAGACAGAATGAAGAAATGACAGGAGGGAGAGACCCAACACAAACATTTGTCACTCAGCTAGGGGGGAAGAAAAGCATAGATCTGCAGAGGATGGGGGCAGAGGAGGGGTGAGAATGGGAGGGTGTGGGATTATTGGTAAGAAAGTATTTGGGGGACATCGATTTCATTTATTCCTCCTGCAGCCGACCGCTCACCACCCGCTCTAACACATTGGATGTCTCCTTACCCTAGGTGTGAAACCTAAAAAAGTTTACTTTGACATCCTGGAGCATTGCAATCGTGGAAGGAAAAACTTCCCAGAGATCGTAAGATTCTTTTCTCCTTGTCCTTCAGCAGTGGATCTCTGGGGGAAGTGGGCTTCTGGGTGTCTCCATGTGGCATTGAGAATGGCGGCACGTGCACCTGAAGCCAGTCTAATGCAGATCCTCTGGTGTGTAACCAGGGGGGAAGGGAGCTATTCTGATAAGTAGGCAGTCTTCCCAAAGGTGCCACCAACAGTTCCTTTCATGGATCTTTCCAGTTGTTTAGGAAATAAGGCTCAAAGAGGCACTCAGGGATAGGAATTTCCATTGTATTGACCAAATTCTCATCAGCAGTATAAGGGAACTGTTGGATTCTGCCTCTTGTGATAAAGGCAGTAAGTTCTCCGATTTTCCTCTCGTGGGGAGCCATCATGGGTGCCCAGGAACCTGGGCCTACCTTCCTCAAGTACCTGTCCTCCACCCAGTATCTGTTGCCCCTGCTCTGCCTGACAGGGTCCTTCCAACAGGGGCTCTGGCTTTCCTGATCACACTTTATCAAAGAGAGTGTTAAAACAAGATCCCTTTTATGTCTTAGAGTCCTGGCAGAGTCCTAGGGAATAAGCTGAAAGAAATAATAAAAAGCAGTTTCTGCACATGCCCTACTAACTTCATTTATCACAGAAGTTAACACTATTTTTGTTATTCTATGATTTTTGTTAAGATTTCTCCCCTCAGACTCATCTTAATTATGTTTGCAATACCATGGGTCTTGAGAACTAATTATGTGTACTAGGGGGAAAAAAAAATCTGACCATGCAAATAAAAAGGTGTCCAAATACCATCTAACATTATCACAAGAACCAGCAAATATATAAAGACACATATATATGTGTATATATATATGTATTTTATATATACTGCTGGTCTATGAGCACCAGTGAGGAAATCTGATAAATGTGGCTGAAGGGACAGGGTTGGATGGCTCACCTTAGTTCCCAGACAACCAGTTTATTTTAATGGCAGGCTTTTAGAAAAACGATCTTTCTGCTTTAGGACCAGGATACCTTTCCCTGGGAGCATTTCAAGCACAGAAAGGCAGGACCTGTGCATGCTGTGTGTGTGGGGGGGTGGTGGGGGGAGTTATTTGGGGTCATTCGAAGCTGGACAATCCATGAAGAGTCACATGGTGTGGGCACTCAGGGGCCACCCCTCACTGTGGGGTTGGTGCCCACTTCTAGGGAGGACAGATGATTTCCTGAAAGTATATTTACTGCTAGATGACCTCCTGGGATTTGCTTGGGATAATCATTAACGACTGTTAAATAAATAAAACCTCTTGCTATATGGAGTTGTACAATGCCAAGAAATCCCATTGCCAGTCAGTGTCCTCTGCTGTTTTGGTGAACAGTTAGTTGTCTTCCTCTGCAACGTGCTTCCCTGACCCCTACCCTAAAGTAAATTTCTCATACTTGCAGTATCCTCTTTTAAGTCTACCATTCCTGACAAGTGAGTGACATTATACCCTGTTCTTGTTTTTGTGATGCAATAATAGGCTAAAAGGAGACACACACACACACACATAATCTTAATTTGGGGAGCTTATTTAAGGGAAACCTGGGACCTAGAATTTTGACTTTTTATTTATAAGACAGAGAAAAATCTTAGTATTTTTAAATAGGTGCTAATATTTTGGGGTAGAGGGAACAAACATGGGATGTAAAACTGTACACATTCCTGGGTTAGCAACAAGTAGGGATTGAAGGAAAATTCCAACCATCATTAGCAATATTCCTAACTTTCAAAAGTGTCTTCTTAGTGCTTAGCATCTTTGGTAACTGTCCTCTAAATTATTCATATTTCTGGGTCCTGACTTGAAGAAATTCATGATGTAAAATGGAAGATAGAGCGTTCACACCCAGAAATGTGGGCCTTAAGAAGTGGTGGTAGAGACAAGGGGTGGGAGGGTGTTTAGGATGTAAAGCCAAAGAATGATTATACAGCCTTTTCTTTTTTTCCTGCTTATTGATCTGGCCTTCCTGATTAGAGACACAGATATTTGAAATGAGAAGGTCAAAAAGGATGGAAGAAAATGCAGGGGTGGGAAACCCAACTCCTGCTCATGAATGATGTCTGACTTGAAAGAAGCAATTTAATTCCCAATTCTGTGGGAAAAGTGACCTTTGCTGGATGAGCGAGTGTTGACAATAAGGCCATTTTTCTCCAGCTTTACAAACAATGTGAATCTGAAAGCAAGATTTTGGGCTCCTCGGAAGACTCAGAAGGTGGTCAACACAGAGGTGGTCAACACAGAGGTGGTCAACACAGAGGTGGTCAACACAGAGGTGGTCAACCCAGTGGTTATGGCCGGGGAAGGCTGCTGTCATTATTTGACTGACTTGGAAGATGAAGCCACAAAGCTGGAGGCCTGCAGTTTGGGTGATCAACGACTCTGAGGTACGAGGGGACCTGCAGTATCTGGACGTTGGCAGGTGGGCTTGCTCGGACTCTTCCCTGGGCTTCCACTGCCCCCACCCCTCCTTGCTGTTGTCGTGTGTGTTTTAATTGGCTGGAGACAAAAGTTATCATTATAAATAAGTGCTAAATTTTCCTTTAAAATAAGTTCCTGGAACCCAGATTCCTCTAGAACAACCAAACAAATGGTGATGTGGCCCTGGCGGTTGGGGGTTATAGCGTCAAAAAGCCAGTCCCCTGCCTCTGGGAGCCCAGGAGGGGCGCAGGGCCAAGAGAAAGGCCGCTTTGTATTCAGAGCATGGCACAGTAGAGTGGGCGCCTGCCACCGCCAGGTCTTCCTCGCGCCAGCCGCCACCAGGAGGCAAATGGACTCCGCCTGGGGCTCGGGAAGGGGCGACCCGGCCGCGGTGGAAGCGGCTGTCGCCGCCTTTCACGCCTGAC